CATCATACATAAATTATAAAAATGCCAACAATGCTTATAAAAGGTCAATTAGATGCTGTGCTACAATCTGGCCAATGCAGGAAGCTGCTTCACTGAGTACTTTATTAATCACCATAACATGCATCATGAGCTGGACTTACAATTTGAAGTATAACATGTACGCCAGCATGCCTGTAATTACCATTTTGGTTTGTATGAGTATCTTTTGGTATTTAGTCCAAGCTTGTTCTCACTTACTATTGATACCATATGCTCCTTTCTTGCATATTTAGTCTCATCCCTGATTATACCACTTCCATATAAAAACACAGAAATTAGCCCTATACTCAAACTCATAATAAACTTGGGCAGCAGAAGTAGCTTTTGCATATAGACTTTTGCACAGCGGAAAACCTTTTTTCGGCCGAACCACTTTGTCCTGCGATAATTTTTTTCCCAGGATGGATGATTTTTGGCCATTTGGTGGTTCATCTCAGCTGAATTTTATTAACAAAAAAAGATTTGGGAAAACAAGTCAGATTAACAAAATAGGGAATCAAAATATATACATAGGGGGGCGTTGCTTGGCGCCGGACAAGTATGGCCGCCTAATCTCCTCGCTCCGCTCCCGACCGCCCCAAAAGCACACCTATACAGCGCAATTTGGCACCCATGGGACGCACCAAGTGAGCCCAATTGACCCTCTCCACGCCGAGAACACAGGGGAACAACCCATACCCCTCGATCAGAAGCTACAAGAACACCCCGGGCGACCTTCTCATGCAGGAGGAAACATCCAATATGGCGCCCTCCTCACAAAGCTCCACACTATCAGAAGAAGCCCCCAACACTGGAGTGAGCGGAACTGCCCCGCCAGCGCCAGACTGGTATGCCCTCTATGCATCTCTACCTAAGAAGGAGGACTTCCACTCCCTCTTAGAAGAGGTCAAAACCACGCTGCACACAGAAATATCAGCCCTGGGCTCCTCCATCACAGCATTAGAGACCAGAGTGCAGGCCCTGGAATCCTGACGCCCCGACCTGCACTGCCCGGCGGTCGCAGCCACGAAAGCACAGGCTAAACAGATCCAGGACCTACGCCTACACATTGAAGACCTAGATAATCACAGCCGCAGACACAATATACGGGTAAGAGGATGCAGGGAAACAGACGCCCCAGAAGACACGAGGGCCATTTTGACACCACTCTTTAACCATATCCTAAACCAGCCCAGAGACGCCCGCATCCCCATAGACAGAGCTCACAGGGCCCTGAGGCCTAAACCTCCGCCGGGTGCCCCTCCTAGAGATATAATTTGCCACATACCAGACTTCCAACTTAAGGAAGAAATAATGAAGAAAGCCCGGGCAGAGAGGTCCTGGGGGCACGAGGGGCAGACGGTCGAACTATACAATGACCTCTCTCACCTTACTCTACAGGCCCGAAGAGCGCTGCGGCCCCTTACCACCGCCATGCAGGAGGCCCAAATACGCTACCGCTGGCAATTCCCATTTGCCCTAACTGCCCGGCGAGACGATACCGAAGCCACGATAAGATTACCACAGGACGTACAAGACTTCCAAGAAGCCCTCGGCCTCCCACAAATGCCCATCGCAGACTGGACCAATTGCCCGATAAATGAGCGCTTCACAGGACGACCGACCCGCCGCCACATCCAGCAGGGACCAGACACCGAACTTACCTCTCTACAGCAAGCGAGCCCCGAGGAATAAAACTACCCATTTTGCCTGAGAAATAACTGAAGACTTAACGCTGACATTTTTATTGGGAACACGGGGCACCCCCCCCCCCTTTTTTTTTTCCTTTCTCCCTCCTCACTCCTTCAGGGAACAACGAAGCACGACCGGAAGAAGCACAGCCCTAAACAACTACACTAGCCGCCCAGCATGCCCAGGCCACACGTACAACACTAATATGGCCACCGGCAAACATCTACAACACACTCACCACTCCTCACACAAGGCGCTCGACAACGGACTGAGTTCACCCCCACACGACCGGAGAAACATGAACTCCCATCGAGAAGGATCCAACACTGTATGGGAACCCCCACCGGCAACCGATAAGTGGACTGACACTGCCACACAATGGACTCTCCCCAGAAGAAGAGAGAAATCAAAAGCGCAAGTACAATGCAAGGAGTCACAACCCCCCCAGACTCTACACCAACCACACGCTTTACATAAGATAACACTCACGGTGACACAAGCCTAACCCCAACACATGGGGCACACTCCCACTTACATTAGCACGACACACAGCTACACACCACACAAAGGCGACATACTGCAAACGCAAACACCAGGGACATTCGCAATATGCTAAATAACAACTGTAATGCTAGAACCGAGGTTCAAACTCAGTGTCTCTGCTCTGATGTATACACATCACAGATAGACAGCGTAATCAACATGGCATACAGACACTTACCACTTATGAGTAATACAATCATGACACAGACACTAATACACGGGCAGCAGACGCGGCAGAGTCCGTAATGCTAAATATAGGCTATGTCACATCGAACACGAAGCTACTTGTCTGTGCTCCCCTGTGTAATCTGTGGGTATTGAACTGTAAACGCAAACGTGATGGACAGACACCACGTCATATACCTGCACATCATACGCAGGAGACAAAACTGTGACACGGACAATAGGGACACTGGTATTGTACCGAGCAATGACTGCAAGGCTAAATCAGGATTATGTCTATAACGGTTAGGCGCCCTCCCAACTATGGGAATACAAAATGTACCTATCACATAACACAAAGATTATTAGCTACCAGAGAAGACTGAACAAAACTTGGGGAGACCCTTGGAAGACTGTAACATCACTAGATCCTGACAAACGACAGCCAAGCAATTCCGAACTGATCATCCATGACTCCTACCAACTAAGTTTTACTGAATAACCATACCAACTGCCACCCTATGGCGACAGCGGACAAGGCCAGACACACAATGACTCTCACGTGACTATACGGAAAGCCAAATCTCAAACAACCCACCGACACGAGACAGACGGCGTACGACTTAAGACGAGTCCGAGCTGACATATGAGTTCTCCCCGACCCACCCTTCTCCCACGCCCCCTGCCCTCCCCCACCGTAAGACCTCGAGTGACCCACAGGACGCAATCTCAGGAAGCTTAATACTGGATGACCCCCACATCATAAGGGCATAATCAAACTGTACGAAATGGTTGAATTGAATTGAATTGTTTTTGAATGTTAAAAAATGTTCTCTTATATAATGTTGATCACTGCGTGTTCATAACCTGCATGATGTTCTCCCCTAGGCACTAACTCACCCTCATCATCCGTATCATACGATATGAACCATACAAGGACCAACACTGAAACCCGCTCGCATGCGCCTTAGATTAAACACACGACCTACCCCCCGATGGGTGCCACACTACCCTACACCTCAAAACTTTGGGGCGGCGGAGGCCGGATGAGAACTGGACCTGACACACCGCCCGGCGAAAAAGTCACTGACGGGCGACCTACCCCCCCACCGGCGCCCCCAACCCCATGGGTACACTGCCAACGACCTGCTAGGTAGCCACGGGAGACAACACCCTTAGACCTCTACCTACCAGCGGCACATTGCCCCTTACTACTACTACCTCAACGAGCTATAAACACCTAAACTCGTTGCCCTACTGCACGCACTCTACTGCCTAACACCCCTCCTCCCACCCCCCTACTTCCCTCGTGGACCCTTCTCTCCCCTCTCCCCTATACCCACCTATACCTCCCCTCACCCTCACCCACCCCGGTCCACCAACTGGCCCAGCCCGGGGTGACCCCCAAAACATGGGCTCGCCCCGCGCTCCCTAGGCGGGCAGACTCAACTGGGACCACCTCAAACTCTACACGATCAAGGCGAGGGGCCTCAACTCCCCTCATAAACGGGCCAGAGCATTACGGGAACTCAGAGCACTGGGGGTGTCGATAGCCTTCTTCCAGGAAACCCATTTCCACGCACCCCAGGCCCCGAAGTTCTCCAACAAACACTACCCCAATGGCCACTTCGCGCACAACCCTTCGACTAAATATTAGGGAGTGGCCATACTATTCTCAGCAAACATCCAGTTCCACCTGGAAGCAGAAGAAAGAGACACGGAAGGCAGATATCTCTTCATCAAGGGGAAAATAGGCAACTCCACACTCACATTTGTGAACCTGTACCTCCCAAACAAAGGCCAGAGACCGTTTCTGGCCTCTGCCCTCAGAACCCTAGAAACATTCGGTGAAGGCACAATCATAATTGGAGGAGACTTCAATGCCCCCTAGTCCCCAAAATGGACACATCCAAAGGCGCATCTACGATACCAGATCACATCCTCAGAGGAATGAGGACTCTCCTCTCAAATCACCAATTTGCAGACACTTGGCGCATCCTACACCATACAGACAGAGATTTCACCTACTGCTCGGCACCACATAGATCCTACTCAAGGATAGATTACTTTTCACCCAACATAGAGACCTAGACACGCTGATAGCAGCCCAGATAGCGCCTATGACCTGGTCAGACCACTCACCAGTAATCATCACCATAGAACACCCCAAGCCCTCAAAACCGCAATGGACGTGGAAATTAAATGAATCGCTCCTGGAAGACCCACTAATCCAAACAGACGTACGATCCACTCTAGAGCACTTCTTCCTCACCAACAAGACACCTGACTCCACGCAACCCACAATCTGGGAGGCGCAAAAATGCATCGTCAGAGGGATCCTTATCAAACATGGCACCCGCCTGAAAAAACAAGGTACACAAGAAATTGCATACCTTGTCACCCAGGTCGCCCAACTGGAAGCAAAACACAAACACACCCTCCACGACGCCACCTACAAACAACTACTGGAGACTAGAGTGAAACTCAACTCTCGGTTACAATCAAAGATCCAATTCCAGTTCCAACTCGCAAAAAAAAACCAATCTATGAATTAGGAAACAAAAGTGGCAAATTATTAACCAGGGCTCTCGAAGCGCGCAAGCAAAAATGTCACGTCCAAAAGATCACAGCAGCAGGGAAACACCTGCTCACACCCAAAGCCATCGCAGAAGGCTTCCGACAATACTACTCCTCCCTGTATTGCTTACCCCCACACACCTCGCGAATGAACTCCACAGAAGCAACCTTCATAGCTCGCCAGAAAGAATATATAGCGCAGAACCTGACTTCCAAGCTCCCGCCCCGGGCCATAACCGCACTGGAGGAAGACATCACCGCCGAAGAAGTACATCTAGCAATCAAACTGGCCAAACAGGGGAAGAGCCCAGGGCCAGACAGATACACGGCAAAATACTATAAAACGTTCGCAGACGCTCTCACTCCACACCTACTAACCCTGTTTAACTCCATCCAAAAGGGAAACCCACTGGATTCCAACACGCTCCTGGCCCATATCGTGGTGATACCGGAGGAAGGAAAAGATCCGTCCTCATGCACCAGCTACCGACCAATATCCCTGCTGAACACTGACCTCAAGCTGCTCGCCAAGATCCTGGCACTTCGCCTCCAACCCTTACTACCGGACCTCATCCACCCTGACCAAGTGGGATTTGTGGAGGGAAGAGAGGCCAGAGACAATAGGCACTCAACCTAATACACGCGGCTGGACAAGGACACAGGCCCGCCCTGTTGGTCTCGACAGATGCCGAAAAGGCATTTGACAGGGTGGACTGGTCCTTCTTATTCTCCACCTTAGAGCACCTTGTGATGGGGCCGCACATGTTGGCTTGGATATCAGCCCTATACACCAACCCAGCTGTCCGAGTACAAGTAAACGGGACTCTCTCAGACCCATTTGAAATAAGGAATGGCACAAGGCAGGGCTGCCCACTATCGCCCCTGCTCTTTGTCCTCAGCTTGGAGCCGTTCCTAAATGCCATCAGAACCCAATCCAACATCGCAGGGGTCGGAGGCAAATGGGGAGTCAGCAAAGTTGCGGCATACGCGGACGACCTCCTGTTTACCGTCACCAACCCAGCATCCTCCCTCAGAGAATTAATGCATCAATTTGACACTTATGGCATACTGTCTAATCTAAAAATCAACTTCACCAAATCGGAAATCCTCAATGTGGGCTGCCCCCAACCGCTGGTGAATACACTACAAAACGACTTCCCTTTCCACTGGTGCACAGAGGCAATCAAATACCTGGGGATCTGGCTATCGGCAGACCTCACAGCCATTTTCCGAATCAACTTCCCACCCCTTCTCGACCAGATTAAAAAAGACCTGAACTTATGGCAGCTACCACACATCACATGGCTGGGGAGGATCAGCGTACTCAAGATGAACATACTCCCACGAATCCTGTACCTCTTGCAAACCCTACCCATACACATCCCCAACACCTTCTTCACACAAGCCCGACAGATACTGACAGAATACGTGTGGCATCGCAAGAGGGCGAGATTGAACTTCGCCACTCTCACAAAACCCAAACAACACGGGGGACTGGGTCTACCCGACCTGACCAAATATCGGCGAGCCGTCCATCTCCTGCGCCTGATTGAATGGACACACAACCTGGAAAACAAACTTTGGATCCCGATAGAGGCAAGCTTCTCACAAATCCCCCTATCTCTTCTCCCTTGGCTACCAAAAGCTATGACCAGCGAACTGCCACGACAACACCCAACCCTAAATGCTACTCTGATGGCCTGGAGAAGCTTAGCGCCACACAGGGACATGGCCCCGGAGCTATCTCCCACAACCCTAAATTCCCCCAAGCGACGGAACCTCACTATGTCACAACCCTAGGGCTGCCATACCCATGCAGACTAAAGGACATATACAAACAAGGCACGATCACGCCTCTGAGAGACCTGGTCCCAGATACCGCACACGACTGGCCACTCCGCATCAGATACCACCAACTTACGAAATTCCTGACGCACATGCCCGAACTGAAATCGGCAACACGAACACTCTCCACCTTCGAAACCCTTTGCACAAGCCCCCCGACCCCACCACACACAATCTCACTCCTCTACACACTACATATCACACCTCCCACCGATGCACCCCTCCCTTACTTCACCAGATACTGGGAAAAAGATATAGGACACGCACTCACCGAGGAACAATGGACCACAGTGTTTACACTCGTACATAAAGCCTCCATAGCCACCAAATTCCAGGAAGCAGGATATAAAATGATCTCGCACTGGTACCAAACACCGGAGAAACTGTCGGCAATGATGTCCACTTGCGAACCAGAATGTTGGAGATGCAGGAAAGAACTGGGAACCCTCTTCCATATTTGGTGGACCTGCCCACTCATCAAACCTTTCTGGACGGAAATCCACAAAGCCCCAGAGACCGTAACGGACGCAAATCTACAACTTACACCTGAAACTTATCTGCTCCATCTGACCCCGCTCCCCTTAAACAAATACAAAAAATCTGTGATCCCGCATCTCCTGAACGCAGCTCGCAGCCTCATCCCGGGAAACTGGAAACAACCCACGGCCCCGACGCTAAATGAATGGATGACCAGAGTAGAAGACATCAGACGAATAGAGGAGCTCATCCTCTCGGTGACGGGACGCATACAACGCTACCACGACACCTGGTACCACTGGTTACAATGGCTCACCTCTACCACAGCGCCGGGAGGTGGGGACCTACAACCCTCAGATACAGAAGAGGGGCTCTTCCCCCGGGTCGGAACCGGAGGAGCTGGGCCGGGACCTGGGCTGAACCCCGCCTAACCCACCCCTAACTCCCCACACCTCATCCCGCTCAACCTCGAACCACCCACACCTTCCGGTCCCCATTCTTCATTACCCCCCTCGCCTCCTCCTGGGCAACTCTGCCCACCTACAACCCATCAGAGACATAACAACACAGAGATGAACAATTACGGCACAAGACAAACAGCGCTCACCCCCCACTCCTCCTCCCCAGACACAGACCGAATGGCATGCACCATACCCTCATGTGTCTTGACGGGACATGACCATGACACACGACAGAGACATGCACAAGACAGCACACCAGACAACTCTCACGCTACACACAACACGACAATTACCGGGCCAAAAAACCCCAGCTTCCCCCCCATTTACCAGACAGCTCTGAACGCAGCAACACCCCGGCACACAACTCAACGCTGCCCACAAATCCCACCCCCCCCCGCTCACAACACTAACAGTCAGGCTCCGAGCTCCATGCCCGAAGTCCCAACAAAAGACCCACCCCACTGGACCTCGACACCGCGACCCAGGGCATATCCCTACCAAATGAGACTCCCACATGAATACCGATCTAACTGATGAAACTCCACATACCAAGCAATATGAGCAGTAAAACTTGCCAGGTATACCTAATGCACCCCCAAAATAAAAACCGAATCGTATCCCCCAGTAGAACTCATAACACTGTAAAACACCGCAAAACTACCCACACCCTACTACAAATGTTGAATGATTCGAAACACGCAACTATTTCCAAAATTCTGTTCATTATATACACATGGTGCAACCTTCACTTGCCATAACGCTGTGATCAACCCACTGAGTTATCAAACTCCATATCACTAGCATACCCCGGTACATGTTCTTTAAACCTAAAACATTACCTGCTCTGTAAACTAACTGATACCATGTTATAATATGATATCCATGTACCCTATATCTACTGTAACTTTCTTCAAACTGTCTTGTTATGCGAATTTAAAACAAAATAAAAAACTTTTTGAATGAAAAAAAACAAACAAAATATATACATAAAATATACAATAATACATAATCTAAATATTGTGTATATATTTTGCAGTACACTAATAGGTGCATTTTCCCACCATTTGGTTCACAGATCAATTGGAAAAAAGTAACCAATAGAGGGCAAAAGAGGATGCCCTATTATTGGTAAATTAGTTTGTAGGGGTTCATAAAGATATCCTTTCCTATCTCATTAGTGATGTTGCCTGTCGGCTGTAAGTACCAAGGTAAATTATTGATTTAAATGGGTTGTCTTGACATTGGCAATTAAAGGTATACTTTTATGGCGATTGCAGTGATACCACAAAACATCTGATATTTCAAAGAACATTGGGATTTGGGTTACTGTGCATGTATTGTTTATCCTACCTGCTTGCAGGTTTACTTTAGACTCTGCACTGATGTTGGTAATACGCTACTGTCTTGCTTTTCCTAGTCTCTTCTAGGATAAAACTCAGATTGTGCTGAGTGTTGGATCACCCTTAATACCAGCGTGTTATGTAGGCATATACCTTAAGATGTTACATAATCAATATCAACGATAATAGTTTAAAAATTATTCCATCCATGAAAATCAAAACAATCTGCCACATTATAATTGTGTTTTTGAAAAAAGTGCAGTGTAACAAAGGTGGCTTTTTGCATATTTTCCTCTGAATGAATGTAGTTCATGGAATTATATGTTGCAATGGGCTGAATCATAAATTGAATCAAGTTAGGAGGAGCTCGATCCTGGGTATTACAGTTCAGATTCTTGGTTCCATAAAAATGTATCAGCTGGTTAGAGCAGTGGAAATGTCAGTGCCTTAAATCCCGGTTAGTCCACCTCTCCAGTAAGTGTCCTTGGGCAAGACACACAACAATATATATCTGCGTTACATAGATTGTACGCTCATTTGCCTTCTTCATTTCTAAATATCCCCTTTCTTTAATTAAAGTGCATGCCAAATATCTTATAATACAAATAATATTTCTGACTTTTGAATTTTGGCTTATCATTGATATGTATAGGCTAGGACACAATGCGCGAGACACAATGTGATGAATTATATATTGTATTCTCAACTTTTTGTTTTCCAGCATCCTGGGATTTTATGGAAATACATTTTGGTCCCATGTACCAATGACAGACTGAT